GGCATTGGGTAGTTAGCGCATGCGTGCTTTGAGACGGGCATTTAGAGCTGACGAGTTTCAGCTGCGGGCACTCATTCTTTTGACCCCGTGCGCGTGCAAAGTGGCGTACACTGGGGCTACATGCGTGTTCATATCTGCGTCTCTGAGTGACTCTGAAAATGCCAATGGCCCCTAAACCCCATACCCGTCCCCGCTGATCGTTTCACCTACCCTATGAAGCTTCGGATTCGGGCTTTCTTGGAGGTCGTAAGCGAACAAGTGCAGACCCTACACCCCTCAACCCCTACCCTAAACCCTAAACCCTAAACCTTAAACCCTAAATCCTAAACCCTAAGCCCTAAACCGAAAGGCTTCCGGCTGGGTGCACAGCCCTGAACCCCAAACACCAAACCTGAATTTAGGGCAGGGTTTGGGGTTTGGGGTTTGGGGTTTGGGGTTTGGGGTTTGGGGTTTGGGGTTTGGGGTTTAGGGTTTAGGGTTTAGGGTTTAGGGTTTAGGGTTTAGGGTTTAGGGTTTAGGGTTTAGGGTTTAGGGTTTAGGGTTTAGGGTGTAGGGTTTAGGGTTTAGGGTTTAGGGTTTCGGGTTAAGGTCAAGGGGTTTAGGGTTTAGGGTTTTAGATGTTTAGGGGTTCAGGGGTTTAGGGTTTTTAGGGTTAGATTTGCAACAAACATACCGGGCATCCGTCGAAGGACTTCTTCGTCACAACCGAGTTCAGTTTTTGGATTCGGGGTTTCGGGTTCAAGGTTTAGGGTTCAGCTTATTTTGGGGTTTGACCAGTGAGGTAAGGGAGCCTTCCTGGAACCCTGACGAACTCACAAGCGTTGCCACACCCGAGCAGGCTAGAGGTTTAGGGTTCAGGGTTGGGAGGTTCCCCCCTACACTGACAGTCCTTAATAGGGACTATAACAGGGGGTACTATAATGCCTAGCAAATACTGTCAGAATAGGGGGGAACATCCCAAGTCCGATCCACCCTAGAAGCCCAAGCCTGAAACCTGACCCTAAACCTTAAACCCTAAACCCGAAACCCTAAACCCTAAACCCTAACCTTTTGAGGACGGGTGGCTGGTGACCGCGGGGGAAGTCATGTCCAGTTGGCCTGTTGCAAAGTTCACGAAGTACCTCGGGTCAGGGTTTAGGGTTTAGGGTTTAGGTTTTAGGGTTTAGGGTTTAGGGTTTAGGGTTTAGGGTTTAGGGTTTAGGGTTTAGGCCCAGGGACACGGATCTGGGTTGATCCACTTTAGTAGAGATTTAGGTTGGGATGTTCCCCCCTCTGCTGACAGTCCTAACTAGGGATGGCAGCACCCCCTGTTATCATCACTACTAGTAGTAAGGATTCTTAGAGAAAGGGGGAACATCCCAAGATTTAGGGTTCAGTGTACGGTGCAGGGCTTCCGGTGTAGGGTTTAGGGTTTAGGGTTTAGGGTTTAGGGATTGCCTAGGGCCTTGGGGGGAGGGCTGGTGGCGGGAGGCTGCATACGAGTAACAAAAAGGGGAGTTGCGCCCCAATCCTGGGCTACTTCCTGCAACTATCCGAGTGCCTAAACCCTATAAACCCTAAACCCCAAACCCTAAAACCTAAAACCTAAACCCCCCTCTCCCACCCGCTCACTCAAGCCCCAGGCACCCCTTCTCCGTGATGGTCAGGGTGACCTCAGGTACTCACTTTCAAATCCAACCTTACGAACCGCGGAACTGCCTTTGGCTGGTTTAGGGTTTAGGGTTTAGGGTTTGGGTTCAGGATTTAGGGTTTAGGGCTACTAGACCCAAGAGTAACCGCCTAGGGTAGTTGCATGGTCCGTTCGTATGGGCCCCTCAAAGGCAACCCCTTATATACCCCCTGCAAAACCCAAGGGCCCATATATCAGAACCGTTTAAGGGAGGTAGGGGACCAGATTCAGGGACCATGTAACTTGTTTAGATTTTCATGTGGGCTGTTATCTACGGGTAAACTTCCCCAACGAGGAGAACCCACTACTTGTCCATAAACTACTGTACTACCCGTAGGCTCAAAAGGCACGACCTGCTGATACACTACTGGTTGTTCCGCCTGGAGTTCGCCAGAATTCTTGGCCCGCCCCCCCAACAACCCGAAAGCCTCTTATAAGAAGGCCTTTGGGCTCAAAAACCCTCAAATTCGAGTCCTCAGCTTGTCCATAAACTACTGTACTACCCTTAGGCTCAAAACAGCCCGAAAGCCTCTTATAAGAAGGCCTTTGGGCTCAAAAACCCTCAAATCAGAGTCCTCAGAGCCTTTTGGGGGCTATAGCACACAATTTAAGCAAATCCCCCCCCCCAAAGAGAACAAAAGCGTAGCACCCCGAAGCTTCTCAGGTCGAATCTCAGGGCAGTCAGGGTTTGGGGTTTAGGGTTTAGGGTTTAGGGTTTAGGGTTACATGGTCTCTTAGTATGGCCCCTTATCTTCTTTAAAGGGTCTCGGAATTTTGGGCCCTTGAGTTTTAGAGTGCATGTAGGGGGTCCCAGGCCCCATGTAACTACCCCTGAGATCGAAGGATGGGAGCTGAGGAATGTTTATGTTTCAGGGTTCGGGCCTCACGTTCAGAGCATGGCGTGGACGAGGAGGTTGAGGGTTTAGGGTTCAGAGTCTAGGGTTTAGGGTGGCAAACCCCTAGATATACGTAGAGTGATACAACAGGCGCCTTATCAAAAAAGAAGACGAGTAAGTACTGTCCCTAAACCTTAACCCCCTGCATATGTCCTTGAAACCCTGAAAGCCCTTACAAACACAATACCTGAACCCAACACCGAAAAACTTTCTAAAAGTCGCCAGAAGCTAACCTAATCGCCCAACCCCCGAGAAGATAAGACAAGGATGAAACCCTGAACCGTAGTCCTGATATCCCTAAACCCTAAACCCTAAACCCTAAACCCTAAACCCTAAACCTTGTTCATCAGGCCCCGACTATCACTATATGGGGTACTAGCCGATTAAGAACTGTTCGAAGAACGGGGGGGACATCCCAAGGCTCCACGCACGTCACCCTCAACATCTGTGGCCCCGGGCAATTTTTGTCTCCTCCGCGCTAAGCACGTCAAGTATTGCCTCTGGCTCCTTCAGAGGGATCCAGCTTTACGAAGGATAGGGTTAGGGTTTAGGGTTTAGGGTTTAGGGTTTAGGGTTTAGGGCTTGGGGCTTAGGCTTAGGGCTTAGGGTTTAGGGTTTAGGGTTTAGGGTTTAGGGTTTAGGGCTTAGGGCTTAGGGCTTGGGGCTTAGGCTTAGGGCTTAGGGTTTAGGGGAGAAGAACGAAAAACATCTGTGGGTGACTTTGATGACACTCATAGCCCTGCACCCTAAACCCTCAAGCGAACGCAAGCAACAGAAAACGACAGAAGGAACACCCCCCCGATCGCCTCAGTCGCCAGGTAGAAGGCTTGGTGGCAGCCTCCACCAACCCTAGACCCTAAACCCTAAACCCCAAACCCCAAACCCTAAACCCTAAACCCAACCCTAAGCGCGAGACGTACCTTTCACCTCTTTTCTACTGGTATCCTGTGATGATTGGTGAAGAGAACAGTGTGAATATGATTGTAAGGGAATGAAAGTAATGAATGTACGCACGAATCATATGAACACGTGAACGCAACAAGAAACCCCCTAATAATACGCTCTTTTACTATTGTTATTAACTGGTTCATATTATTATTAACAAAACGGGGGAACAGAGTGAGCGCGTCCAATAATGCGTCCCTTTCACACTCATTTCCAGTTCTTTTAATGCGTTCACTCATTCATTCGTTTCATATTAAATTTACTGTCACGTGTACGCATTAAAATCGTGTAAATGCTGCGTTCATTATATTATTTCGGCTTTCGTGCATCATTTTATTCTTTACAACGCCTTAGAATATAGTACATGAACGCACTCTTTAAACACACGAACGAAAACAGTGAGTGAAGTACACCATTATCCTCTTTCCCCTTTATTATAATTATCTTGTAAGGACGGGCGTCTAATGAACTAAATAATAGCCCGTATGAATAATAGTAATCCTTTGCCCTTTTTCCACCTTCAATAATAGTGGTGCGTCAACCAATCTCCCGTATAATCCTATAGTACTAAAAGGGAAGTGAATACATGAACTACATTTGTAATGAAATGAACGTAGTGAATGTAAGCACGAAATGGAGTGAATGTGTGAACGTAACACCCAACCTCTGTTTCCAAGCCACTAAGAACCCAATATAATAGTATTACTGCGGTATGTTCACGCACGCGCATTCATTATAAGACGCGTGCATAGCGTTCTCTTTCTCCCCTATTATCCCGTGCATTATTAGTATATTATTATCGCACGGGGGAATTAGAGAAAGTACGAAGAGAATAATATTCACACGGGATTATAAGGAATGAAAAGACGCATGAATGCCGTGCGAATATTGTGAACGAAGTACGGGCCCAACATTCTATTCTCATTAACTGGCCCGTATTAATATTATAACGAAGTGAACAAGCGAAGTAAATTACAAGGAAAGCAAGAAGTGAATGACGCGTGAATTTACCGAGCTTGGAGTAGGGTTTAGGTTTTTAGGGTTTAGGGTCCTTGGTCCTTCATGTACCTTCACCAAGAAGCTAGATGTACCAAGCCCAAACTCAAAACTCGGGATTATACAGTCCTTCATAGGGATGATAGTACCCCAATGACTTGTTCATTGTTGGGATAGTATTCAAAATTTAAATGTTTATTCCTTATTGGGTTTAAGTACCCTTAGAAATGTAAAATGTTACCCAACTATGACAAAGATGAGTGAGCAGCCGTACTGGTTCCAGTGGGCGCTCATGCCAGAGGTCACCTTTTTGCCCCGTGTGAGCGTCATGCGGATGTGTGCCTGAGGGATGCCCTCCCAAACGGCATCACCGCCCTGCACCACAAGTCAAAGACAGAGATTTTGGCCTCCTCACGGTCATACAAATGTCCATCTATTCCATCTATTCAGATCTTGGAAGTTTGGGATCGGGTCTGTTGTTCCAGTCTATCATGTTATAGGGAAAATTGGGCTAAGCGTTGGTAATAGTCCTTGCACTGCGCCAGCAAGGGTTGCAAGCGCTCTTCTATGGTCACCTCTTTTCTTTTGTAGTTGCCAAAGCCGGTACTCTTGTGCACATTACTGTACCAGTAGGGTGCCCAGATGCCGTCTTCGGGGCGTGCGCCAGCCTCCCAGTGTAGCATGGCCGGGTCAAAGGAGATACCCAGAGCCGCGCACAGCCGGGTCATGGTCTCTTCGGGTTGCAAAAGCAGCGACTTAGAGTCTTAGAGTCGAGTACCAGAGGCCGTTGCCCCTGTGCCTGCAACCACTCGGCCAGCTCCCACTGTTCCTTCAAAGCAGTCTCCTGCAGCGTTGGGTTGGGCACCTGCTCAATGAATGAGCTAAGCATCTGGTCTGGCTCTCTAATGAGAAAGAGCACTTTGCCATCGAGCAGAAAGGCCGGGTCAATGTCAATGAATTGCTTGGCAATGTGCTTGAAAAAGACAACGGGGCGGGGCCAGCCTGCCATGACCTCTTTGTCTACTACCTGCTGCCCATCGTTTTCCTGGACTGCCAATACCTCATCACGGCCAGGATGGTCTAAGCCTGTCACTTTAAGATAGTGGGCATAGAGTGGCTCATCGACCACGGTGGTATCGGCACGCTGTGCAAATGAGTACATGAGTGCCGTGCTGATGTTGCGCGGGCCACTGAGCAGGTGTATTCGTAAAGTCTCTGCCATTGCTGTGGTGGTAGTCAAAATAGTGCTGTGGGTCTGGTCTGAAGCCAAAAAGCTCCACACCCTGCTCTGCCAGCGGGCCAATATCGGCGCCACCTAAACCCTAAACCCTAAACCCTAAACCCTAAACCCTAAACCCTAAACCCTAAACCCTAAACCCTAAACCCTAAACCCTAAACCCTAAACCCTAAACCCTAAACCCTAAACCCTAAACCCTAAACCCTAAACCCTAAACCCTAAAAACCCTAAACCCTAAACCCTAAACCCTAAACCCTAAACCAAAAAGAATTCGCGCTGGCGCTTCGTTCAATGAAGCTGGAGGTCTAGGTGGAGCGTCCTGGGGGACCACATGAACCTTAAAAGGGCTTATGGATCATACACCTTAAAGAGAATTATAGTAGCTTAGGGTATACGTCCCCAATTCTGGGACTCATCTGGCCCCCAAGGGTTGTACAAGCCCAGAAACCCTCAACCCTAAACCCTAAACCCTAAACCCTAAACCCTAAACCCTAACACCCTAAACCCTAAACAGTAAACCCTAGACCCTAAACGACACTTGGAGCCTGAAAGTCCTACACCCTCGGCACGGCCTACTTTCCAACCTCCAAGGGGAAACCAAAGGTTACCCTTTGAGGATTACACATTTGGGTAGTATGATGGGTTTAGGGTTTAGGGCTCAGGGTTTTGGGTTTCCGGGCCTGTCTAGGCCGTAAACCCACAACACTTCTGTTCTACCCGTCTCAGGGTTTAGGATTTAGGTGGGCCAAGAAATGGGTGGGCTTATGTGTTAGGGCTTTATGGTTTGGGTTTACGTGTTTGGCTATGTGTACTTTGTCACTCTGGATTTCATTAGAGGGCATAACAAGCCCCCTCCCCCCCCCCCAAACAAAAAAAGAAGAGAATTCCTGAGGTTCGCTTTTTTTGGGGAGTTTCAGGCCCTAAACCCAAAACCCGAAAACCCAAACCCTAAACTAAAATGTCCCTTGACCACCGGCGGGCTGGGGATCTTCATAAACTTGGCAGGCGCAGCTGCTGCCGTGGAAGCAGCACTGACATGTCTACAGCTTACTCTCGAAACCCCAAGGGCCTGTGGCATTTCCCAAAACAGCGGAACCCCCTTTTTGCACCCCAAATAGTATAGAATCCCCTTGAAGGGACCCCTAAACAGGGTACCCATAGTTTCGGAAACCCCCATATAGGACCATATAGGTTACTAGAGTGCTTAAGAACCCAACGCTGAGAGACCTGAAGGAATAAGGTCAGCGATGCAGCCCTAAACCCTACACCCTAAGGAAACCTTGCACCCTAAACCCGAAACCCGAAACCCTAAACCCTGTGGACACCTTGCACCGTGCACCTTGATTCCAAAAACTCAAGGACGCCATGTTTGTCCATCGCCCGAAACCTATGCCAAAGTCGGAGGCCGTGGGAAGACGTGGCCACCACCACCATTCCTGGTGGGACTGGCGTTTGGCAACCCGACCCACCCTAAACCCTAAACCCTAAACCCTAAGCCCTAAACCCTAAACCCTTCACCCTAAACCCTAAACCCTGTAAATTTCAGGCTGCGGCCTCTGCAAGGAACCTAGGGGGCCAAGAGGAAGTGGGGGGGTAAGGGCCCTAGCAACCGGGAACCCAAGATCACAACAAGACTGGAAAAAAAAACAAGAATTTGTATCTTACTTTCCCTCCCCCTCTGGGTTGTTGCTTGTACCCCAAAGCTCTCAGGACTCGTACTTTAGGGTATATGGGTTCAAAGGCCTTTCTATATAAGGCTTTTGGGCAATTTTTGAGGCTAACCCTAAACCCTAAACCCTAAACCCTAAACCCTAAACCCTAAGCCCTAGAGGTCAGCGAACCGTTGCTGGACCAGAGGAGATTCGGATGGCCCCAAGTTACAATGCAGCCATCCGCACGGATTGCTGCAAAGGCCAGGTCGTTGGCCTGAATCTCCCGCACATCTCGCAGCTGCTCCTCCTGTGAACTGCAATCTCCTCCGAACCTCGGATGGCCCTTAAAAAGGGTTTAGGGTTTTCCCCCAAACCTGCAGTCTCCTCCAAACCTGTATATCTTACAATAAGGGCACCCGTTTTTGGTTGGTTAGTTTACGAGGGAACCCAGAAACCCAAAAAAGGGTAAAGGGTACTGCTTGGCTAACAAGATTGTTGGGTACTATTTAAAAGCTATCAGGTTTGCTCCTTATCGAGTTTCCCCAAGTCTCTAAGGCGCTCCTATCTTAGTGTATTTGGGCCCAAAGGCCTTCTTATGTAGGGGTTTTGTGCTACTTAAACAGGATGACCATAAAACCAAACCGCGAACCGGGAAACCGGAACCGTAGGAACCGAACCGTGTAAGAACCGAACAGGGAGCGAACCATACCGGACACGAACCGTAGAAAACCGAACCGGAAAGGGTTCATAATTAAACCCGAAACTTATAGTGAAAAAGCAAACGACGCGAAACGACAGCAGGGGCAGGCGTAAGGCCTGCCCCTGCTGGACAAAACCTGACGAGGCGGGCGAACGCAGGGTTGAGGAATTATGGTTTATAAAGGGTTTTATATATATATATATATAGATATACATACATACACCCTTGGGGCCTGCCCATTTGTGTCGCGCCGAGCCCGGCACAAAAAGTCACCTTTTTTGGGCCTCCCCAGCCCCAAGCACCTCAAAAAAGGTGACTTTTTGTGCTGCGCCTCTTTTTCGCAAGAGCCCGGCACAAAAAGTCAACTTTTTTGGGCCTGCCCAGCCCCAAGCACCTCAAAAAAGGTTACTTTTTGTGCCGTGCCTCTTCCCCGCAACAGCCCGGCACAAAAAGTCACCTTTTCTGGGCCTGCCCAGCCCCAAGCACCTCAAAAAAGGTGACTTTTTGTGCCGCGCCTCTTCCCCGCAAGAGCCCGGCAAAAAAGGTGATTTTTTTTTGCCGCGCCTCTCTTTTCCGCAAGAGCCCGACACAAAAAGTCACCTTTTTTGGGCCTGCCCAGCCCCAAGCACCTCAAAAAAGGTGACTTTTTGAGCCGTGCCTCTTCCCCGCAACAGTCTGGCACAAAAAGTCACCTTTTCTGGGCCTGCCCAGCCCCAAGCACCTGTGACTTTTTGTGCCGCGCCTCTTCCCCGCAAGAGCCCGGCACAAAAAGTCACTTTTTTGGGGCCTCCCCAGCCCCAAGCACCTCAAAAAAGGTGACTTTTTGTGCCGCGCCTCTTCCCCGCAAGAAAGGTTTAGGGTTTAGGGTTTAGGGTTTAGGGTTTAGGGTTTAGGGTTTAGGGTTTAGGGTTTAGGGTTTAGGGTTTAGGGTTTAGGGTTTAGGGTTTTGGGTTTAGGGTGTGTCAGGGGAGGGCGCGCGCTCGGGTGTGAAACACCCCGGGCCGCGCGCTCGCGTTGCCCGTCAACCCACCCCGGCCACCCAAACTATACTCTATTAGGGTTTAGGGCTTATGGAATTTATTTTCTTGTGCTCTGATGCTTGCTTTGATGTTTTTAAAGTTGCACTGTTAGGGTTTAAGCTGGGGTTGGGGGTAGCCTCGGCCCTTTTCGGGCCTTCGGCGTGTCAGGGCCCGTAGAGGCCCCTATTTATTTGAAGGTCAAGGAAACCCTTTGTGCCTGCTCCTGCATTCCCCTTCTTTAAGGGCCTCAAGCCTTTTGGTGGCTCTTGGGGCCTTTTGGGGGCTTCCTGGGGGCTTTCCTGGCCCTTCCGGGGTAAAATGAAGGAAAAAACCATCGATTTCAGAACCAAAAAATCGCATTTTTCATTGCGGGTACGGGCATCCTGGGGTCCCCCTTCTTTTAGGGGGCCTTTTGGAAGCCTTTTGAAGCCTTTTGGTGGCTCTTGGGGTTTTTCGGGGCCTTGTTCGGACCTTCTAGTTTTTTCGCCAATGAGCATTTCAATCGCTAGGGTTTAAGCTGGGGTTCGGGGTAGCCTCGGCCCTTTTCGGGCCTTCGGCACGTTAGGGCCCGTAGAGGCCCTTATTTGCTTGAAGGCCTTCGCAGGGTTGTTAGGGTTTAAGCTGGGGTTCGGGGTAGCCTCGGCCCTTTTCGGGCCTTCGGCACGTCAGGGCCCGTAGAGGCCCTTGCTGATTTGGGGGCTTCCTGGGGCTTTGCTGGTCTTTTGGGGTGAAATGGAGGGGTGCCCAAAACCATCGATTTCAGTACTAAAAAATAACATGTTTCATTGCGGCTAAAACCATCGTTTTCAATATTCAAAAATCGCATTTGTCATTGTGGGCACGGACAAATCTTGTGGTCCCCCTTCTTTTAGGGGGCCTTTTGGTGGCTCTTGGCGCCTCTTGTGGGCTTCCTGGGCTTTCCTGGCGCTTCTGGTGTAAAATGGAGGGGTGCGCAAAACCATCGCTTCCCGTGTAAAAAAAATTTCATTGATGGTACGGCCCTCTTCGCCCGGGGGCCCTTTGGCGCGGGGGGCCTTCCTCTAGCCCTGAACCCGGGCCCTTCCGGCCCTGAACCCCGCCCCTCTTGGCAGCGCTTCTTCACACTTCGTTGTCGTTGCGGGTCTTTTGAGGGGCGGTCTTGGAGCGGGAGGCCCTTGGGTTGGGGGCCAGGGACCCCTTGGCCCGCGGGCCCTTGGCGCCTGGGCTCCGGGCCTTGGCACGGGGCCTTGGCCCGATGCCCTGTTTGGAATGGGATCCTGGGGCGGGGCTCTGAAGCCCTTGGCCTCGGGACCCCAGAAACGGCTCGGGCCAGGGTCTGACCCAAAATTGAGCAACCAGCCTCAGGGGGCTGCCGGGGGGGGGCCCTGCACTTTAGCGACGCTCAAGGTGGTCTGGGTGCCGGCCATCCCTTAGCCGAGTACTGACGTTGTCGTAAAAAAGGCCGATGTCCGTTGGCCTGTCCAGGACAGACGGTGAGGCTTAACCCTCACCTTTTCCGTTTCTCTTTTCGCTTGGGCGCTCCGGCTGTAAGGCCCTGGGCCGAGCGTTCGGGGTCTGTCGCTCGACGGAAGCGACCCCTCACTTAGTTTAGGGTTTAGGGCTTAGGGTTTAGGGTTTATAAGGTTTAGGGTTTAGGGTTTAGATTTAGAGTTTAAGGTTCAGGTTTTAAAGTTTAGGGTTCAGGGTTTAAGGCTTAGGCTTTAGGGTTTAGGGTGCAGGGTTTAGGGTTTCAGGTTTAGGGTTTAGGGTTTACGATAATAGGGGGGGGGGGTTATAATAACACCCCAATGAGGTACCCCTAAACCCTAAACCCAATATTAGGAACCGTGCGAACCGTGGAATCGAACCGTTAGAACCGAACCGTGCACGAACCGTGGCCACCCTGCTTAAAGCCTAATGAATTTAAGCATTCATAAAACATGTAAAATGATTTTCAACAATGACCCGGAAACGACACATCTCCCCAAGTCACTACGCTTCCATCACCTCGCAGAGCAGCAAAGGCGAACCTGGGTGACCAAATGAACCTTAAGAGGGTCTGTGGTTCATATTACCTAAACAGCAAGTATAGTATCATATCGTATATGGTTCATATTACCTAAAAGGGAATTGTAGTAGCAAAGGGTAAAGGACCCAAAATTTGAGGGTTTAGGGTTCACATTACCTGAAAAGGAAGTTATAGTAGCAATAGGGTATATGACCCCAAAATCTTCGGGTCCAAATTGGTCCCCAAGGAACTGGTTCCCTTGGAGCTGCCGCACGTCTGTCAGCAGCGCCCGGACGCTGCTGCTGTCGCCACCGCAGCTGGGATTACCCCACGTCACCTGAGCCGGTCGTTTGAGCCGAGGAAGCAATCAGACTGGTGATTCACTAGCCCCTGAACCCTAACCCCTAAACCCATAAACCCTAAAGCCTAGCCCTAAACCCTAAACCCTAAACCCTAAACCCCAAACCCCAAACCCTAAACCCTAAACCCTAAACCCTAAGCCCTATAAGCCCCATAAGCCCTAGAAACCCAAGAAACAACAGTCAATAATCTGCCTCTGGCGACGACAGAGCCGACGTCCCGGAGTCCCGCGAAAGCGCCGCGAGTTGACTGGAGCCCTTTCCTGGGTCACCAAACACCCCCTTTTTCGGTTTAGGGTTTAGGGTTTAGGGTTTAGGGTTTAGGGTTTAGGGTTTAGGGAAAATAAAGTATACAGGGTTTCGGGTTTAGGCCACCAAAAACCCCTTTGTAAAAGCAAAATAGGTATATAGGGCCCCCCTCATAAATCCAAATAAGGACATTGCTTAAATAGGGTCGTCTTTGTTCAACCCAAACAAGGAGAAATGGTACTAAAAGGTCCCCCTGATAAACCAACACACGCAAGATATTCAGCATACAGGGTCTCTCTGATATACCCAAGTGAGGAACAACCTAACCCTAAACCCCAAACCCTAAGCCCACAGGCCAACCGAGCTTCAAATCGACCATCTGATCCTGCACGGCGCTGCAGTCGCCAGCATAGCGCAGGTCACCCCAGGCTACACCCGAACCATCCTTCATGGACAAAAAAGTTAGAAATATGCTAGTATGAATACAAAAGTAGCATAGTAATGTAGTAGTATACTATGAAAACATCATAGTATAGAAATGTAGAAAAACTAGCCAGAAAATTCACATACCAGTATAAGCGTGTCATCGGAAATTTCTGACAAGGTCACTCTGAGGAGTTCTTCTGTGTGAACAAAAGGCACACGTCAAGGCTTCTAAAAGAAGGCCCAGGCAGCGTGGCGGATCGCCGCAAACGCGCTGTGGCAGGCTTTGATGCTTGCGACGTTCCTGGGGGACCCAAGAAAGCTTAAAACGGTTTATGATTCATATTAGGAGTAGCATGGGGTATATGACTCATCCTTACCTGTAAAAAGGAAGTAGAGTAGCATAGGGCATGCTGCATCGGTATACTGACCCAACTTTTACGGGTTTGGGGTCTAGGATTTATTGTTTAGGGCTTAGGGTTTAGGGCCCCAAGGTTCTGGAGCTGATCTTGGACAGCAGCGGAGTCGCCTCCAAAGCGGCCGTGCCCCCAAGCTACAACCTTGGGCACGCAATGAGCCCCTAAAATGGGGGGGGGGGGGGGGTCACATACCCTATACTACTGTAATTCCCCTTAAGGAACCCTAAACCCTAAACCCTAAACCCTAAACCCTAAACCCTGAACCCGAAACCCTAAACCCTAAACCCTAAAGGGCTGAGCCCTAAACCCTAAACCCTAAACCCTAAACCCGTTTAGGGTTCATTTCGCCCCCGAGGCACAGAGCCGTCCTCCTTCAACGCAGCGAAGGCTAGATGGCTGGCGTGGATCGTCCTTACTTGGAGGTTCATGGCACTCATTAACCAACTGAGTTTAGGGTTTAGGGTTTAGGGTTTAGGGTTTAGGGTTTAGGGTTTAGGGTTTAGGTACTTAATAACCACTAATAACTGTACTTATAACCCACTGATAAGCCCTAATATGGTTATAAGTACAGTTATAAGTACGGTCATAACTGGTTAAGAAGTACCATGAACCTCGAAGTGGAGACCCATTGAACCCCAACAATAATTTGGGATCATAGGCCCTATACTACTACTATAATTCCTACTAGGTCCATGAACCAAAAACACCCTAGACCCTAAACCCTAAAAGAAACCCTAAACCCTAAAACCCGGCTAAGGTTCATTCCATTTTGGGAGTCTACGAAAGTAAGGGGACCCCTAATATCACCCTAAACCCTAAACCCATTTAAGCCCGAGAGTCTTCACCTGGGTCAGTTGCTCCCGTACGTGTTCGCAATCACCGCCAGAAAAACGGGATCCCCAGGCCACTACCGCACCCGACCTTGGTAGCTCGGCAACCATATTCTAACAACGGTACCATTCTTGTGGTTGGGGAACCTTAAACCTGCTGCTAAGGACTGCTAGTAACCCTAAACCCTAAACCCTAAAACCTAAACATCCCAACTGGGCTCCCAAGTGACTCCAAGACAGCCGCGAACGCTGAGTCACTGGCTTGAAGCTGCTGCACCTTGGGGGGGGGGGGGGTTAGGGTTTGGGGTTTGTGGTTTGGGGTTTAGGGTTTGGGGTTCATGCTACCATAACAGGAGTTATAGCAGCATAATACAGGGCATATGACCCCCAAGTTCGGAGGCTCTTCTGGTCCCCAAGGCACATGCCTCAGTTGTGGTTCAGCTGCCTGCCACGCGCCAACGGTGTCAAGGTTGCCCCAGCACACAACCTAGGCAGCCCAGGAGCCATTTTGAAATACGAGTGCCTTGGGATGTTCCCCAAAGGATCCATGTACCTATATAGTATATACTTGGGCCTTAAAGGGGTTCCTATATAGTAGCTTTAGGGCCCAAGTATATACTATATAGGTACATGGATCCTTTAGGTTCTCCCTTATACTGACAATAGGGATTGTAGTACCCCCCCCCCCCCTCTCTTATAATCCCTATGAAGGACTGCTAGTATAAGGGGGCAACATCCCAAAGGGTACTTTTTTTTGGTTAGTTGCCTTAGAAGACAACCCAGAACCAAAAACATAATTATTGGGGTTTAGGGTTAAGGGTTTAGGGTTATGTGGCATGGACCTTTACGTATTATTTGGCGATCCCTTTCGTTTCTTATTTAAACAATGACTTTGCATGTATCAGATATAGAGTATGATTCAATGTTTGTTGTTCCAAGTTTCAAGTTTCAAGCAACTCTTTGCAAAAGGGCTTGCGGTTTAGGATTTACAGTAGCCCACGTACCATATGATCAACATCTCGGCGCCCAGACCGGAACCATCAAGAATAGGTCAGTCATTTCTCTTTCGTCCTTGTTTCTCTAGCATGTTCCGTGAAGACACAAAGAAAGGAAGTGATGACAAAGGAATATACGTGGAGATGGACATGTCGAAGTCTTCATAGTCGTGGCTTTCCCTCTCTGCCTTCCTTTGTTTGACCCTTCTTCTCTATTCTTTTTGCCTTCATCTTTGACCAGCGCGATCGAAAGGGAAAGGGAACATGCCACTTCCTCTCGATGTGGTTCTCTCTCTCCTTTCCTTCCCTCTTGCGATGTATCTCTTGTCCTCTCTCTCTCTCTCTCGCTCTGCTCTCTCTGCCATCTCTTGCTCTCTCATCCCTCCCCTCTCCTATATTGTTTCCTCCCCTCTTTTCCATTTCTGCAAAGAGTAAGGAACAGCATAGAACAGAAAGGAAGAGATAAGATGGAGGAAGATGGTGGAATGTTGAACTCCTCCTGCGCTCGGCTCCCTCGCTTTCTCTTCCTGTGCCGTTCTTCCTCTTCTCTTCTCCCTGTTCTCTTCATGAGAAAGGAATGAAGCGAACGGAGATCTCAGAGAAAGCAAGAGGCCCTCGCTCTCATCATCTTTGCTTCCTCGTCTTCATTGCTCGCTTCATCTCTCTCTCTCTCTCTCTCCCTCTGTCACTCTCTCTCTCTCTCTATCTCTCTTCCTCCCTCTCTACTTCTGCAACATCCCTTTTCCGCTTCTCTTTCCCGCTTCTTACCTTTGACTTGACGTTTATCTTTCTCCCACTCTTCCTCTCCCTTCTCTTCCCCTCCCTTTTCTCCCTCTTCCCTTTCTCAGTCAGAAGGACGATGCACAAGGAAGAAGGGAATAAGGGAAAAGACAAGAGAAAGAGAGAGCGAATCCGATAATGGCAGAAGGAGAACAAGGGCAAGAAAGAAAGACCGAAAGAAAGAAAGAAAGAAAGAAAGAAAGTTAGAGAAAGTAAGAGAGAGAGAGAGAGAGAGAAAAAAAACAAAAAAAGAGAGAGGGGAGGGTGGGATGAAAAGAGGAGGAGATGAAGATTGCAGCAGGGCCTTGTCCTCCGCCTCTGTTCATCCTTGTTCTTCCCTCCTGTCTCATTGGTGAAAACCCAAAACGAGCTTGCGTGGGAAGACAAAGGAGAAGAGGATTGGTAGCCGCGAGATTCGGAGGAGGAGTTCTCCTCTTCAATCACCCTCTGTCCTTCCTTTCAGCTCTCATTCATCCTCCTTGCTTTGCCATCTCTTGCGCTATCATCCCTCCCCTCTCCTCTTTCCTTCCTCCCCTCCTTTCCATTTCTGCAAAGAGTGAGGAATAACAGAGAACAGAAAGGAAGAGACAAGACGGAGGAAGACGGTGGGGAGAGGAAGGGTGAACTCCTCCTTCGCCCGGCTCTCTCGCTTTTTCTTCCCTTGCCTTCTTCATCTTCTTTTCTCCCTGTTCTCTGCGTAAGAAAGGAATGGAGAGCTCAGGGCAAGCAAGAGGCCTCGCTCTCATCATCTTTTCTTTTCTTGTCTTCGTTGCTGTCTTCATCCCTCTCTCTCTCCCTCTCTCCCTCCCTCCCTCCCTCCCTCTCTACTTCTGGAAGCAGACAAGGGAGTAAGGGAAAAGACAAGAGAAAAAGAAGCGAGTCCGAGAACGGTAGAAGGAGAACAAGAGCCAGGGAAAGAAAGACAGAAAGAAAGGGAGCAAGTAAAAGAGAAAGAGAAAAGGGAAAAGAGAAGAGGGAGAGAGGGAGAGAGGGAGAGAGAGAGAGAGAGAGAGAGAGACAAAGAGAGAGGGAGGGGGGAGGGGATGAAAAAGCAGCAGGGCCTTGTCCTCCGCCTCTGTTCATTCCTTGTTCTTCTCTCACGTTTCATAAGTGATAAACCAAGACGAGCTGCGTTGGAAGAAAAAGGAGAAGAGGACTGGTAGCCGCGAGATTCGGAGGAAGAGTTCCCCTATTCACTCGCCTTCTGTCCTTCCTCTCACCTCTCTGCCACTCTCCTTCTTTCATATTCTTTCCTTTCTGGTGAAGAGCTAAGGCGAAGAAGGAACGCAAAAAATAGAAACAGATCCCGGAAAGGTGAGAACAATACAAAGAACTGATCCAACTCTACGAGACGTACCACTCAGATAAGAAAGAGAGAGAGAGAGAGAGAGTAAGATCGATAGCAAGAGCGACGGGGCGATGTCTCATTCTCCCTCTCCTTCTTCAAATCTTTTCTTTATAGTTCTTCCTTTCATTCCTCTCACTCTCCCCCCCTTCTAGTTCTACGAGACATACCACTCAGAAGAGAAAAGAAAGACAGAGACAGAGAGTGAGAAAGAAAGAGAGAGAGAGAGAGAGAGAGAGAGAGAGAGAGAGCGAGAGAGTGATGCGTGGGGGTGGGGGTGGGGAAAACCTTGCCCTCATGCCCGCTGAAAGAAAGAAAAAAAGAGCGCGAGAGGGGGGCGGGGAAGAGAGAAGAGTGAGGAGCATGGTGAGAAGAAGGTGTAAGCCCCCCTTCTCTCCAGATTATGTTCTTGTCTAAACGGAGAAAGAGATGGGCAAGCCAAGAGGCCCTCTCCCTCCCACGGTCTATGGAGTCTATGCTTCTCTTCATGCCTAAAAAAAAGAGGAGATAGAGAGCCACAGAGACAGGCTCAGGGGGGAGAGAAGAGGGAGGGGCAAGAACAAGGTAGGAAGAACATGTAAATTCCTCTTCTCTCTTCTCTTTTCGTCTTTCTTTCCACAAGAAAGAACACTGACATGAACTTGAGAAGGGGGAAGCTAAGCGACCCTCTCTGTCCCACAGTCTATGCTTTTCTCTATGCCTCGCCCTGTCTCACTCCCTCTCTGCTTCAGCAAACCTCTTTTGTTGTAGCTCACCCTTATCCTCGTCTTCCACTTCTACAAGACATGCCGCCCAAAAAAAAGAAAGAAAGAGAGAGAGAGAGAGAGAGAGAGAGAGAGGGAGAGAGCGAGAGGGAGATAGAGCGAGAGAGAGAGAGAGAGAGAGAGAGAGAAAGATAGAGCGAGAGAGAGAGAGAGAACAAGCGAGCGAACCGGAAGAAGAAAGGAACAAGGTAGGAAGACATGTAAACTCCTCGTCTCTCTTATCTTCTTGTCTTTCTCTTTCGCAAGAAAAACTGATTGGGAACATACGCTTTTCCAAAATTGTTGGGGGGCTGTGCTTGCGATCTGTCTTTTGGGAGCTTCTCTTTGTAAAAACCTTAGGGGGACTGTTGCGATTTGCCTTTGGGGAGCATATATTTTCCAAGATCTTGAGGGGACGGTGCTTGCGATTTGTCTTTTGGGAGCATACTTTTTCCAAAATCTTAGGGGGACGGTGCTTGCGAATTGTCTGTTGAGTGCATAACTTCTTTAAACATCTTAGGGGGACGGCGCTTGCGATTTGTCTTTTGGGGACGTAAATTCTTGAAAAATCTTAGGTCTTCGGGCTGCTTTCTTTCAGGGTATCCCAAAAATGGAGGTCTCCGGTGGGCGTGTCCTTTCAAGGTGGGTCTTGTTACAGAAAAAGAAGAAGAGGACCCCCTAATTTTGGATACATGTAACATCACTTCTTTCTGTATTTCCTCTTGCGCAAAGAATAGAACGAAAGGAAGGCCACAGCCCCCCTTCTCTCCAAATTATGTTCTTGTCTAAACGGAGAAAAAGATGGGCAAGCCAAGAGGCCCTCTCCCTCCCACGGTCTATGGAGTCGATGCTTCTCTTCATGCCTAAAAAAAATGAGGAGATAGAGAGCCAGAGAGACAGGCTCAGGGGGGAGAGAAGAGGGAGGGGCAAGAACAAGGTAGGAAGAACATGTAGATTCCTCTTCTCTCTTCTCTTTTCGTCTTTCTTTCCACAAGAAAGCAAACTGACATGAACTTGAGAAGGGGGAAGCTAAGAGACCCTCTCTGTCCCACAGTCTATGCTTTTCTCTATGCCTCGCCCTGTCTCACTCCCTCTCTGCTTCAGCAAACCTCTTTTGTTGTAGCTCACCCTTATCCTCGTCTTCCACTTCTACAAGACATGCCGCCCAAAAAAAGAAAGAGAGAGAGAGAGGGAGAGAGCGAGAGGGAGATAGAGCGAGAGAGAGAGAGAGAGAGAACAAGCGAGCGA